TTATAAAAATGAATGTTCATGTGTAGACTGACTCAAGATCTGTCATAGAGGAAATGTAGCATAGTGTATAGAGAAAGCTCACTTCAAAGTCAGGAAAATCTGATTTGAAGTCCCACCTCTGGCTCATACTGGCTGTATGACCTTGGACAAGGCCTTTAACCTCTCAGTGCAACCAGTTAATTCTCTAAAACTATAAGTCATGGGAAGGTGCCAACCTGCATTGGTAGAATTGGAATTTTCTTATCCAGGAGTTCTCTATATCAATGAAATCACAGTTGCAGTCCCTATCTCCATAGCTCCCTCCTAAAATCTGGCTTTTCTGACCAACTATCTGGCAGATAATAGCCGGTTGTCAAAAATAACTCATTCCACCTGTAAGGAGTCAATGGTGGCAACCTGCTGACCTAGAATCAGAGAATTGTAGAGTGGGGAAAAAAGCATCATGTTCAAACTCTGCATTTTAGAGGTGAGCAAAATGAGACCCTCAGAAGAAATTTATCCAACATCATATAGCTAGCTAGTGAGTATCAGAATAAAGATTAGAAACCATGCTTCCAGACTCCTAGTTTTATGGTTCTTATTATCATACCACCCTGCCCTATTATTCAGGCAACAAGAGAAAAGAAGTGTTGGGGTGGGGTGGAGAAAGATGCAATGTTCCTCTGGATGAATATGTGCAGATGGCATGGTTTTCGAAGCCATAAGCATAGTAAAACAGTTGGGTTGGGTTACTCAAGAGTCTACTGGTTTTGAACCATTGACTTGGCTCAGTCCTTGCTTTGTCAAGGAAATCTATTTTCCTTAGGCTGCATCCTACACCAGCCTCTGTTCTGCGATCCAAACATTCAATTCCTTTAATAGCCCCAACACTTTTGTTGAAGCATCGCTACTAGCCCTAACATCTCTGTTGGCTATCTACTGAACTCTGTGGTTCAATGAAATGGTTCAATAAAAAAAAAAAAAACAGGATTTGGAGTTAGAAGTTATTGGGTTTGAACTCTAGCTCTCCCTCTCAATACTTGTATGGCCCTGCACAAGTCATACAATCTGCTTGAAACTTAGTTTGCTCATGAAAAATGAAGGGGCTGAATTAGATGGTCTCTCGAGAATGGCCCCTCCCTGTTCTAAGTCTATGATTCTATGGTCCAAGAGGTCCCCTGAGACACGTATCTCTGAATAATGCCATATTCATATGATCATGTACCCTAAATGCTGCTTAAACACTGAGATCCTTATATCTATAATTTGACTCAAGAAGGGCACAACGCTTTTGTGATGAAAAAGTTCATGTTGATTGGTGAAGTGTCTGAGAACCAGAGAGAGGATAATAGTTTACCACTTTCCCCTCCTTGCTTAGATTTGTACATCTTAATAGGGTTTTCTTAGAGAGCAGAAATTTGATTTCTACAAGGCCTCAGGCTTCCCTCCATCTCTGGCCTCCATTTGTATTTGGGAATCTTATAAGCCTATGACCACTATCTCTCAGTTAGATGCAAAAATTTTCCAGTGGACCATTTTTTAAAGAATATATTGGCAAATGTTTATTGGCAAACATCACTGAAACTAGATGATATTAGGCCCTGAGCCCAATGAACAACTTTCATAGGATGTGCTGAATTCCGATCACATTCAGTATAATTTTACACAACTTACCTACAGTCCTGTGTAGTAATCATTGATCTTCAAAAGATTCATTTATTTTCTCTGGACTTTGTATATATTTCCTAAGGCATGAAAACAAACAGATCTCTAAGAAGACAAGAATGAAGACTCAGGCAGATAGGTGGTGCAGTTCACATAGTGCTGAGTGAAGAGTCAGAAAGACCTGAATTCAAATCCTATCTCAGATAACTTATTAGCTGTGTGACCCTGGGCAAATGTCTTAATCTCTGTCAGTCTCAGTTTCCTCATTTTTTAAAATTAGAATAATAACAGCACTCATCTCATTGAGTTGTGAGAATCAACGAGAAAAATTTTATGTATGTAATATGCTTTGTAAACCTTAAAATGCTATTATTATTATTGTTATCATTAAATTACTTATCAAAGATATGAGGGACTATACAGACATTGGGTTACATACACTGTCAAATACGGTTACTGCGTTGGTTGCTTTTGCTTAGCTATTTTCCCTTCAATGATAACGTGTGGAAATAATCGGTATAAAAACCAAAGATATCAATAAAATTATTTTTATAAAAATAAGAGTTCAAACAAAATGTTTCCTTCTCTTTGATGTACTAACTAAGAACTAGAAACAAAGTAGATGCCCATTGATTATGGAATGACTAAATAAATTGTGGGTACATGGATATAATAGGCTATTACTATTCTGCAAGAAATTGTGACCATAAAGAATAAAGAGAATTATGGGGAAATTTATATGAGCTTATTCAATGAACCAAGAAAAAATATATACAATGACTACAAAATAAATGGGAAACAAACATAAAAATCCAAAACTGAATACTGAGATATTATAATGTCCAAGTGTGACCCCAAAGAAAAAATAAGAGAAATCACTTCCCTCCCTTAATTGCAGAGGTAACAAACATGGATGTAGAACACTACATGTAATGTCAGATACAATTGATGTGCTGGCTAGTTTTGCTTCAAACTTTTTCTTTCCTCTCTTTTTTTTTTTTTATTCTTTTGTAATAAGGGATGATTGTCCAGGGCTGGGGGTAGGGTTGGGGGCAGTGATAAAATGGAAAATGATGATGATGTAAAATTGAAACATACCAAAAATATGTTTAAAGACTTTTGCTAAAAAATAAAGAAAGAAAAGAAAAGAAAAGAAAAGAAAAGAAAAAAGAAAAACAAAGGAAAGGAAAAGAAAAGAAAAGAAAAGAAAAGAAAAGAAAAGAAAAGAAAAGAAAAGAAAAGAAAAGAAAAGAAAAGAAAAGAAAAGAAAAGAAAAGAAAAGAAAAGAAAAGAAAAGAAAAGAAAAGAAAGACTTTTGCTTAATTTTCAGTTAAGTAGAAAATTCAGGTAACCACAACCCTCTCATTTGCAAAGTATTCTGGCTAACAGGGATTTGATTGTTCCTGGCAGATGATGTTTCTCTCTCTCCTGTTTGTGTTGCTTTTCCTGAAGTTAAATGAAGAATGTGAAGTAGGGGAAGACACAGGTGGGACAGAAGCATCACGTATAATCCAGTTTTATTGCCAGGTAAGAAATTCTTATTAATATAGTGAATACATATGTTTACAAAGAAACATTCTTAGAAAACAAACAAACATTTTGTCTTTATCGTAGGAAGTGTTATTGGTATCATAAACTCTGCAGTTGTTAACAAGTATTAACACAGGGTTACTTACAGAACATACAGTTACTAAAATATTTGCACATAAAATATGCTCAAGTACACAAAAACCTGGATGGGGGAGATACTTGGATGCAGTTGCCAGGTGTAGCCCAAAGTTGACGATTTTAATAGACCTTCAGTCCCAGCAGGACAAGGAGTCAGACAGCCTGTTTGGGATGGCAGTCAGGACTAAATGAAAGGCAAGTGGGGTAGGCAGGGGAAACTGGCCCATCACATCAACCTTTGATTTTCTCTCCTAGCATTGTCCACCTCCCTACCCCCAATAGGATCTTAGCCATTCTACCTATCTGCCTTAGACCCCAAACATCCAACTTGCCCTCCAATATAGCAGCAGGTTTACAGAGGCATCTCAGCCAAGAGCCCTTCTTTGGAGAAGCTCTAGTTATTAGCCTAGTTCCAAGAAGGGAAAGCATAGTCAGAGCTGGCCTTAGGCAAAGAGGCCAGTCCGCTGACTCTCCATCCCATATCTCCAGTAATTCATTTGGTACCAGTGCTGCCCACACTTCATTGAAAGTTGTTCTCCTGCTCCTAAGGTTCAGATCTCTTGACAAAAGTAAGACTGCATATTCAGAGGGCTCAGGTCTATACTTACGTTCTCATAACTCCTCAGAAGGAAACTGACAGGCAGGGAGTAGGACAATGTGGGCTGTTTGAGGCAACCATGAACAGATAGCCCTTTAGGCTAAAAATCAGGAAAGGGAATTCAAGGAAGAGAAATTTTTGGACAGAGGAAGGTGAATTAGGAGACAGAAGCTGGTGGAGAAAGAGGCAGGGTTGAATTGAGAGAAAGGGAGGGTTTGGGGTCAGAAGGAGCTATTTGAGGAAAGAATAGATTGTGTTAAACAATAGAAGGAATAAGCTGAATGGAGAAGAGATGGAGGAATTTGAGGGAGAGACTAAGGTCAAATAAAAGGACTGTAATCATAGAATGTTAGAACTGACCTTAGAGATCATCTAGTCTAATTCTCTCATTTTTGCAGATGAGGAAATAGGCCTGGGTAGATGAAGAGATTTGCCCAAGGCCACACAAGTAATATGGGATAGGCTCAGGACTAGAACCTTGGTCTCCCGACACCCCATACAGTGTTCTTTTCACTACACTATGAGGGAGAAATGAAAGAAGAGAATGAGGGAAAGAGGAGAAATTTTGGAATTGGGAGTAAGAAAATCTAAAGAGAAACTGAAGACATGAGCTGGTACCAGGAAGAGGTTCAGCAGGCTTCCCTTTGTATCCACAGGACATCAAGACACTATTGTGCTGTTCTTTTTGGGTCTGAACATTTGGTGGAAACCAGGCAAGATACCCTAGCAGCACTGAATCCCTTCGTGGCTGCTTCATTACCTGCTAAGATGGGGGTGGGAAACCTGGGATAGAGTGGCTGATTTAAAGTTAGTCATTTGGTAAATTTGAAAGACTTAAAGACCTCTGATGAATGCAGTGACCGAGGCTCGAGGACCTATAATAAAGCATGCTACACACCTCCTGACAGAGAGGTGATGGACTCAAGGTGCAGAAGAAGACATCCATTTTTTTACAAGGTCAATGTAGAATTTATTTTGCTTGACTATGCACATTTCCTACAAAAGTTTTTATTTTCTTTTTCCTTTTTAATGGAGATGGTTGGGAAGAAGAGAAAAATGCTTTTTAATTGGGAAAATAATTTTTAAAGTTAAGTGATTTGGGTGGGAAACCACCTCTTCTCAATTTTTCCTTTTCTCTTTTGCTCACTCTCTCTCTCTCAAAACAGGGCCAAGTAGAACAATGCAAGAGATCCATGTGTCTTCTAACATATCATTGGTCTACGGAGGTGTTAGGCTTGAAAGTCAATTCTGACGAACAAGTTTGGGAATTCCCACTGAGCAAAGTGTGGCCCAGAATAGCTGAGAAGAGAATGAGTAAAAGCAAATAGGGCTTGAGGGTTGTTGGGTGGGGAACAATGGAGAGGCTGTCTTCTTACCTACACACCCCTAGCATTGCAGCCACTTGGTGGATTGCGGGGGGGGGGGGGGGGCAGTGACAGGGAAAGGGAAAGGATGGAACAGGACTTGTTAACAAAAGGAGGTATGAAAACAACTTCTACTACTTAAGTAAAACAGAAGGAAATAAGCCTAAAGGAACACAAGTTGCACTTGGAAAACAAGACTGTCATTGAACACCAGTGACACATTGAAGGCACCACCCACGCTTAAGTCATTTTCAGTCCAAAGCAGTTGGAGTTCAGCAGCACGCTTAAGGTGAAGGGAAGTCAGAAACAGACAGTTAAGTGAGACTCGATTCTGTTCTTGGGAGAAGACAGCCTTTTCAAAGGTGGGGGGCACAAACCCACGGTGGAGTGGCAGCTACTCCCCTTTGCCCCCTCCTGCAAACCTGTCCTTTCATTGAGAGGTTTGCTATTTGTTTGTTTTTAAGTGTCAAACGTCTTTCTTACTTTGGAGATTGTGAAAGGAAAAGGTAGATGTTTTTCTTTGTAGTTTTATAGAGAGATTTAAAAAAAAAAGGGTTGAGTACTCTCTAAACCACTGACCCCCCCCCCGCCCTGCCCAACAGTTCACCCTTTTCCTTGAGTTGCAACAGTTTTTATGGATATCACAGGAAATAGTCTCTTTTTCTTTTCCTTTTCATTAGCAATTGGTGGGTTCAGGGTCTGTTTATTTTTTGCTTCCAACAGTGATGATATGAAAGTATAGTAAGCGTGAGGGCTGGGGCTGAGTTCCTTTGCCCTGGGCTTGTCACAGGTCCGTGTGTCCTGATCATCAGTTATTAGGATTGACCAACAACTCAGATCCTTGATATAAAATTCCTGGCCAAAACAATTCATGTTCATCTACTTTTTCGTCTGCCTCATGTGACAGTGCTCCTGTGCTTGCTCGCGCTCTCTCTCTCTCTCTCTCTCTCTCTCTCTCTCTCTCTCTCTCTCTCTCTCTATCTCTCTGTGCTCTCTCTTTTGCTCTCACAAGCAGGATCAGATAGCTTGTAGCAAATGGTTATAGATGGAAAGTCTGGATTGTGCTACTTCTCATCAAGAATTCCAATTTCAAGTTAAAAAAAAGAGGAAAATAAAATGCCACACGGGTTGGACTTATGAGTTTACCACTGTCTAGGTTGTGAAATCCACATGGAGTTTCTCAATTTCTCTTTTGATATATTGCTAAATGCCCCTGTCTTGGTTTTCCTCAGCTGCTTATTGACCGCATGCCAGTTGTAACCCAGGAGAAGTGAGTTTCCAAGTCATTGGTTAGTGGGTTGTCAGTTTTGATTGTAAGTGTTGTGTGTGAGGGTGCATGGGGGAAGGTGGGAGGGGAGTGGTTCTTTAAGTGTTGCTTTTTTGCCTCTCTCAGTTGAGTGTACTCTCCAGGACACTCCCTCTAATGCCAATCTCAGACAGTCACCTCCGTTTTGCTGTTGGTGATGAAATATGGCTGTGGGGGCATGAAGTGCTGGCTCCTCGTTGCCAGGGGCTCGCTGGAGGTCGGCTCTGCTGTACCAAGCTTTCCCTTGTTGCCATAGGCCTGACGCCGGAGGGACGGTTCATTGGGGTCCCAGCTCTTGAAGTTGGTGGTAGAGTTGTAAGCCAAGGGATGTGTGTGGAGTTTGTTGACCCGGGACTTCTGTCCATTCTGCTTGGCAGGGCCATGCTCAGGACTGAAAGCCCTCGGTGGATCCTCCTCCACCCGCACAGGATGAAGCGGTAGGCTCCCCTTGGCTGCCAGTTCAGCCAGGTGTCGTCGTTTAGAGTAGAAGTCGTCATTGACCTTGTCAGCTGCATAAGCCAGAAAGATGAGCCGGGAAAAGGAGGGGTAGAGGGGAGGAGAGAAAAAGAGAAAAAAGAAAAGAAGTAGTTAGTGAAACTGGCAGAGAAACCAACCTGCAACACAGAAATTAAGAAGTAATTCAAGACAAGACACACATTAGAAAACCAACCAGGGCTTGGGAATGAGGTTGTGGTTCTTTCTCAAACATAGCAACAGTCCTAATAGGACAGGTCTGAAATTGTTATTCAGGAAGAATATTGATTCCAGTGCTGCTGCAAGAATGCAGAACGAACTCTCTAGTCTTGCTAAATGAATCTCCATAGTTTAGCCCTAGTACTAGACACCTGAGGCATAATGGGAGTTGAACATAATTTACTCACCTCAACCTAAATATTAAGCAGGTATAAACAATCGGCAGCTATACCCAGCCAACACAGCAGGAGTCCATCAGATCAGACAGATAATTTTAAATGTCCTTGCTTTCCCTGCACCAGGGCAACTGCTAAAGGCGCATCTGATATTTGGGTTAGGGTGAGTAAATTACTTTCAACTCCCATAATGCCCCTGGAAGCTAGCACCAGGGATAGTATTTAAATTCCTAAAGTTTCAGTTAGCAAGACCAGAGTGATCTTGATGGAACTGAGGACCCTTTGGTGTCCTAAAGTTTCACCCAAATTACTGTTTGGTTAAAGAATTACACTTTACACTTGAGTCAAAAACAGCCTAGCATCTTATAAATGTGACCATGTTTGATAAAGGGCCATGAAGACATTAATCATAAGTATCTCTATTTTACTTTACAAATGAAGAACTAAAACTCAGAAAGAAGTGACTGAACCATAGTAACACAAGTGATTTGTGGCAACGTCAGTACTAGAACCCAGATCTATTGATTTCTTACATAATGACATACAAAAAGATGATAAAACAACATTTGGGTATTGTACTCAACAGAAGGCAATAGAACAACAACTCTAGAATGCAGTAAAGTCCTAGAACAAGGATGTTTGTCTACCTAAGTGACAGGGAAGTAGGCTGGGTTGATTTACAGTCACAGTCAATCAGTCAATAAACCAAGCACTATATTTGGAGATATATAGAAAGGTATAAGCCAATCCCAATTCACAGGGAGCTTAAATTCTAATAGGTGAGAAAACATGTAGGTTGGGTTTACTTATAGTCAGTCAATCACTCAATAAGCCAGGCACTGTACTTAGAGATATACAAAGGCATAAACTAGTCCCTGCCCAAAAGAAATTTATATTCTAATGGAGGAGAAAACATGTAAGTAACTAGGATATATATGTATACATATATGATGTATACATATACATATATAGATAGATAGTCCATATAGTCTCATATAGTGGGACTGGGAGAGGCCCATTTTAGAAGGTGGGATTTAACTGTCTTGAAGGAGTACAAAGAAACTAAGAGGTATGGGTATGGGATCTAAGCATTCCAGGAATGGGGTACAGTAAACTTTAGTGACAGGCAGGTCCACTCCAAGAGGCAAAGTAAGAGGTCCAAGAAACTCTTGGATCCCTCCCCACCAACTTGGTTTCTCAACAGCTATCCTGGAAACACACACATTTTTCACTATATATGATGTGAATATATATGATATATATATATATATGATATATATATACATGTTTATATATAATCTCAATGAATCTTGTTAATAACGACATGAGGCAAGCACCACAGGTATCATTATGCCCATTTTACAGATTAGAACACAAGCTCAGAGAATTTCAATTACCTCATGGTTACCTATATGGTAAGTGTCAGTAGCAGGATTTGAACCCAGATCTCTCCTGATTTGAAATTCAATGCCTTTTCTACTACACTCTGTCCATGCTGGAAAGTATGCTGTAGTGCGTAAGCCCCTATCATGGTGTGACCGCAACAGTGATTCTGCAATACCCCATCAATTTGATTTTCAAAGGAGCAGACTATGGAAAGATTTGAAGCAGAAATATGAGTGGATCCAAAATTCTTTTCCAACTCTTCTCCAGGGTTTTATTCCAGATGACTATCTCTCCCTTATACCTGATGCATCTCTTCCTGAGAAGGGCAACCCATAAAGAAGCTTTTCTCCTCTCAGCCAGACCTGTCTACCTCCTCTCCTTAGCCATAGCACCAGAGTGCTCCTTGCCATGACCTGGAATTAATGTGTGTGTGTGTGTGTGTGTGTGTGTGTGTGTGTGTGTGTGTGTGTGTGTCTCCCTCTCTCTTCTCTGTCTCTATCTCTTTCTTTCACTCCCTTCAGGACTACTTATTGGTTATGCATTTTCTCAGGGGGAGAGGGAGAAAGGAAGGCAATGGTTGAACCATTCCCTTTTCTACCAAATTAAACAAATTGCTTATTACACCAGGTATGAGCAGCTCCTAATTCTCAGCAGCTGGAAAAGATGTTGCATATTCAGGAAGTCCTAAAGGGGAAACAGCTTCTGAGGCATCCAGCTGCTACTCCATCAGGACAGATGGGAATAGAAGCCCAGGGTAAGTGAAATCATCAAAGCACATCTGGACATCCTGTCTCCCCCATTCCAGTCCATTTCCTGGCCTCCAGAGTGGCCTCCCTGGAGCCCTCCTAACATACCGCTGCCTTTGCCAAATGCACTTTGACTATATGAAGGAAACACATACACACACAATGTATGTATGTATGTGTGAACTCACATGAACTGCATAGATGAGTGCAGAAAGTCCTTCCTAAAATTGATCCTTTAAAAGGGGGAGGGGTGCTGAGTTAAGGCAGGACTTACCTCTATGACTTGATTTGGGGTTGAGTGTGGGGTGCTGTCATCTGATGATTGTCAATTCATAGACCTTTTAGAGCTGGAAAGGGTCTCAGACATTATCCTAGAGGGAGTATAATATTTTGTAGCTGAGGAAACTGTCCCAGAGTGGAAAAGTAACCTCCTATTTAGTGGCAAAGCTGAGATCAGAGCTGAGATCTTCTGAATCTCAGTTAAGTGTTCATTCCATTATACTATGGTCCACTATTCCACACAGAAAGAGTAAATATTTGGGCAGTAGTAATAGAGAAAAGGATCAGGACATCAGGCATAAAGGAGGGGTGTGTATGTGTGTGTGTGTGTGTGTGTGTGTGTGTGTGTGTGTGTGTAATAACCAAGAGGCATTTATTAAGGTCACAATTCTTTCATGAAAAGCTCCTGTTGTCTTATTATGATTATTTAACAATATTAGTAATTATTTTAGGAGGCAGCATGGTATAGCAGAAGGGGTGGTAGGTTTGGAATTAGAAGACCTAGGTTCAAATCTCTGTAGTCACTGTCGTAATCTTGGGCAAGATAAGTAACCACTGGGGCCTCAGTTTCCTCATCTGAAATGAGAGACAGTCAGAATAGATGACTTCCAAGGTAGTTACCTTCCAGCTCTAAATAAATCTATAATTCTATGGCACTGAACTTGAGTATACTTGTGATAATGACACAGCTTTAAAATTCATTTCAATATTTATAACATATATGTATATGTGTGTATACATACACACACACACACACACACACACACACACACACACACACACACACACACTTCGATTGTCTGATCTCTCCCTCTCTCTCTTCTTCTCCCTCTTCCTCCCACCCTGTCCCCTTTCTCTCCCCTATAGATTATAAAGGCTATGGTGGCTGCCATTGCATTCTGACTCACTTAGTGGCCAGAAAGGTGCCACATTCAGAGAAGTGTTTAATAAAGTCCCTTTTTCTCCTCCAATGTGCAGTAAAATCTTAATCAACCAAAATCCCCTCCTTACATCCTATTCCTCTCCCCACCTTTAATTGCCACCTGATTTTAAGGAGAAGTAAATAATCTGGGTTTTATTCCTTGATCCAACTTTGAAGACATGCTCTAAGTTCTTTCCCTATTCAATCTAATAACTTTATCTTCTGCATTTATCATCTAGGATTGTGATATATCTTGTTCATAATAATGACCCTGGAGCACTTCAACTAGAAATCCTGTTGCAATCTCTAGGTCATCCTTAAGCAGCTAGGTGCTATATTGGAAAGAGTGCTAAGTTTGGAGTTAAGAAGACATGAGTTTGAAGTCTGCCAACACTTACTAACTATGTGATGCTGGGCAAGTTATTTAACCCTTCTCAGCCTCAGTTTCCTAATCTATAAAATAGGGGCAATAATCATCTCAGTTATTTTTCTTTTTTTAGTTGTGTCTAACTCTTCATGACCCCATTTGGGGTTTTCTTGGCAAGGATACTGGAGTGGTTTGCCATTTCCTTGTCTAGCTCATCTTATAGATGAGGAAACTGAAGCAAACAAGGTTAAGTGACTTACCCCAGGGTCACAAAGTTAATAAATGTCTGAGGTCAGATTTGAACTTGGGAAGATGAGTCTTCCTGACTCCAGGCCTGGCACTCTATCTATTGCCACCTAGCTGCCCTACGGGTAATAATAGCATTTACTTCACAGAGTTTTTATGAGAATCAAATGAATATGTACATCCACATATGTGTGTGTGTGTGTGTATAGACACACATATATATGTATACACCCATTATACATACCCACACATACACTTTGCAATACCTTAAAGAACTAATATAAATGGAGGTTATTCTTTTTGGATAAAAAAGTAAACTCAGTGGTTCTATAAAGAGTTCCAACAAGAGCTGAAACAAAAAACAGTTTTTAATTAACCCTAAATTCACCAGAATGTGTTCCTCTTCATCCCCATTGCTCAGGCACCTCTGTGAACAGAGATTTTTACTTTATTTGTCGAGCTGAAGCTATTCAAAGTATCCTCCCCAGAGGAGAAAGGAGACTTTAAACCTTGGCTGTCGGCCTAGTTTCAGGGAATCCAGTCCAAAGGCTATTCTGGCTCCTCGTGGTGTTATTCTGTCTAAGTCTATTAAGAAGTTTCCAGTGAGGGAAATGAGAAATTCATTGAAGGGCCTATTAAGAACTATTAATGAATTCATTAACCTAATCAGCCCAAGGTGCCTCTTGGGCAGACA